CCCCCCCCCAGCCGCCGTGTGTCAGCTGTTTGTGTCGCCCTGCAGCAGATAACCCAAAGAGGTTGCGTAAGATGCCGTGGTGCATTCAGACTTCTGCAAGAGCTTTGAGATGCCGGTTTGATCCTAAACCACAAACTGAATGTAAATCTGTGCACCAAGGCATGAGAACACTCTCTGCATTCTCAACTCCCTCTGACGTTGCAAGAGCTTATGTGTTGTATATTATGTGATTATTTCCGATCCACTTTCAAGTATTGTATGATATGCATATGTGTACATCTGTTTATACACGAAAGTGCACACATGCAGGCGTATATGCCTGTCTGGCTTGTGATGCATATTTATAGATATATTATAAAAATCAATTTTATTCCCATATTTAGTAAAAGTATGATTTTTGATTTTATGCTCTCTGCACATTTTCGCCCATATTGTTCCCCTTATCCGTTGTAAACAGGTTAGACAGACCTGGAAGAAGTCTCCCACAAGTGCCGTCTGCCACTGTCCTCCATTCAAGTAGACGTCCAACAGCCACCAGATTTTGGTGTCTGTCAGTAGCAGCCATGATTGTAGTCCATGTTCGATTACAGTGGTAACCAACGACTGCAATCAGCTCGGGTGATTTCACTTGCTGGCGGCAAAATCTCAAAGGCACATGCACAAATCATTTTATCCCATAACAAAGACCTGACCTTAAATTTGCATGACTTGCAAGTGTTGTGTTTTTTGCAGCAGAGAAATCACTTCTTTGGAAACAGTGTGATCTGTAACATGATACCAAATTCCAAACAAAGTAAAGAAACAACAAACTGAGACAAGAAAAAAAAAGTACAGGAGTATCTATAACAAGACGGTGGCTAGATGGATAGAGGAGGGATGATAAAAACAAAACCAAAAGTGTGAATTACTTTTACTTTGTCTTTTTCTGTATGTGGAATGAAAAAGTCTTTTATTTTTGTAGAGTAAATGTGCACTTAGTTAAAAGGTAGTTTTATCTTTAGGAAAAATTAGACTTTTACTGAACTAAAATTAAAGCCTAAATGAAACTAAGAATTTTAACAGTGCAAAACAAAACATCTCATTAAAAAAATACTAAATGTATTTATACAGTTAGTATAATTGGAAAGCATAACCATGCTAGCGCTGTTTAAATCACTGAGTCTAATTTGGAACTTCAAGAAGCCCTGCTGATTTTCACCTCGAGGTCCAGAAATACACTGATTTACAGCTGGGACACCTGGAGTTATCGGTTAGGGGATAGGGATAGGGTCAGATTGCTAATTGGCTGCCCATCTGGAAAATCTTTTGTTATTGTCATACAGATAAAAATCTAGTCCATAAATTTGGAGGGCTCAAAAGAGACTGATAAGTCTCTAATATTGCATACGCTCTAAAAACAATCCTTCATTTCATTAAACCGTCTCGGCCTTTTAAATGTCTCCTCATTTTATACTCCACACATTCAGATTACAGAGTAAAGCAATCCATTAAAAATAAAACCACTAATGCTCAGTTACTGTAGAGTTGACAACAGGGAAACATCAGTATCTACAATGGCTCTTACTATTACATCAGTCTGGGATGCCAAACAGCTAAGGATGCACCACATCAGCTAAAGGGTGACATCCCACATGATTAAACCCAGCTTGCGCACCTATGGGCGTTAGAGCAATCATAAAAATAATTCTGAGAGCAGAAACTTGGCAAGTGAGAGTGCATGGTTTTAAAAAAAGGTCAAACATGGTCAAACAAACTTTGTGTAATTACTGTCACAGCCAGAGGAGGGAGACAAAACTTAACCACCACAGGTTCAACATGGGAAACCTCCACACCTGTACCATCCACCCCACTTGTGATGTAAATGCACCTCCAACACTAATAACCTTTATCAGGATTACTTTATCTAGAAAAAGTTTCATCTCACAATCCTTTCTAACACAAAGGGCCAACTACACTTCTCATTTAATATTAGTAAGAACCCACTTTATAACACGTAATTACAGCACTGAAAAGGTTAAATGGTGCTTTGTGTCAATGTAAAAGCTAATCAAAGTGACAGTAATGCAAAGGGAAATGTTTGGCAAAGGTGACTAGCCTGATGTAGGTGTTAGTGCATCTCTGTATGCTTGTTTCACATCATAGCAGCCTTCAGATTGAGCATGAGCCTCTTCTTTTCTCATTTCTTCACACCTTTGCTCTGTTCTCCTGCCTGCCTCTGCGTGAATCCCTCTAACAGCATAACGTAACTCAGAAAAAAGGGTAGGGGAAGAAGAAGGAAGAGGAGGAGGAACTGGGAGGGATTTTTACTCTTCTTTAGTGTCTAAATGAGGGTGGATGACTCGGGGAATGCTGCTTCTCCTGCTTTGCGTTGTTACGATTCCTTCTGTATTTTTGTCTTTAGTTTCTACCTCCCCTTGACATTTTCACTGTTTTGTTTGTTTTGGTTGGTATTTTAGTTTGTTTTGGGGGTTTTTGTATTTGAATCTATATTTACTGTTTAGACTGTTGCTGAACCTCTCTGTGATATCAAAATGACAGAAAATTGACAAAAAAAACACCAAGTGTCTTAAAATATTGTATCGCCATCGTTTTTAATGCCAAGTAATACTTGTAAATGTTTGTGTATCAAATGTGGCCTCAAAGGAAACTGAACTATATTATTATTGATATTAATATTATTTGAGCAGTTATTTTAAACAAGTGCTGTAGACCACTGCTGTGAAAGTAGTTGATTTTGTTCATTGATATGTAATAAATATTTATGAAATTTCTGTTGGGTGGTTTCTTTGGTTTACACACACACACACACACACACACACATACATACATACATGCATACATAGATAGATATAGATATATACAGGCTGAAAGCAATGTAAGTAATGTTAAGGTTAAATGTCAACATACATTTCTGCTTTAACTCTCTTTTTTGTAGCTGACTGAGTCATAGGACTGGGGTTGTTTATTCTTGAGTTGTTTAAATGGAGCATTTCTTTCTGTTTGGATTTTTAACCCAGCTATAATCTGATTATGAGGGTCAATGTAAATGTTTACCTTTAACATTACGAAGTACACACAACTACCAAAGCCCAGCAGAACACCGATACTAGCATCACACTACCTTTTACTCACTTGCCCTTTTCAACGCCTATCACTGCTGCCACAAGGGCTGACGAAGCAGCAGAAAAGTATACAACGTGGCCAATGCTGCTTTCTGTTGCTTCGTCAGCCCTTGTGGTATTGGGGCTCAGCACAGACACTCTGACCAGACCCAAAATCAACGGGATGGGAT